ACTAATCAATTGGGAAGCCCCAGATTCAGTGAAAGACTTCTCTCAAAACTAAGGTAGAAGGGAATGGAGAGAGGGTGCTTGTTGATCTGGCAACTATAATCCTAGATGCTTAGAGAGCTGAAGCAGGGGGACCACAAGTTCAATGCCATCCAGGACAACTTAAAGAGCCACTGTCTTTAATTTAAAAACTTTAAAAAGAGTAGGGACATAATTCCGTGGTAGAAAACTTGCAGAATATGCATGAGGCCCCAGGTTCGATCTTCAACACAATAATAAATAAACAAATAATACTATGATATTATCAGTAACCCACTTTCAGTTTAAGAATAGTATAATTCACGTCTATTAAGTTTAAAACTCAGACAGACATGCCCTCTTTACACGAGGAATCTTTATGCAGTAAAACTGATGTCCCAGTACTGCTGCCTTTTGGGGCTGGAGAGATGGCTCAGCAGTTAACAGTGCTCACTGAGCTCCAGAGGACCCATGTTCAGTCCCGACCCACATTAGGGGCTCACAACTGTCAGTAAGGCCAGCTCCAGAGGACCCAATCCCTCTGACCTCCCCGGGCACCTGTATACACATGTACATACCTACACAGAAAGACACATAATTTAAAATAAAATAATTCTTTTTTAAAAAAAAGTATATTTCCTTTAGAAATGTAATACTCAAAACACTGTCTCATACAAAGGAAAGATTATTCAGTGCCTACACAAAGATCAGATTTACCTGTTATAAACCTTCACATTCCTCCTCAGAAACTGCTGTACAAACAGAAATATTTGCTATATGTGTTAACTGAGCTACTCCTCTGAAGTCTTAACTACAGTACACTCAAGCTTTTACATATAATATACATAATTTATGTGCATAACAAGAGTACCTAGTAGTATATACAATGTCTACCTTTCCACAGGTAATTTTGAAAGCAATTTTATCATTTAAACTTTCTGAATTTTCTTTCCACAAGCATTTTTGTTTTAGCTTGCATCTCTATGAGTCGTGAACAACAGATTAACAGTCATGCTGCAAAGCATATGAAACTACTGCAATCTTGTGTTCTTTCTGTGTTCATGACACCCTCGAGCCTCACTGCGCTTCTGCACACTAATTCAGATCTTCCAGCATCTGCAAGTTTTTTCTTCTATGACTGCAACTGAATATAAATACTTAAGCGCAGCTAGCAGTGTAATCCCACATGATACTGCATCTATGTTTACATCTGACTCCAATCACATGCTTAGAAGTTATTTGCAAAGGAGAAAGAAAAGGGGACAAAAAATCACTGTGAGAATTATTTTAGAATATTTTAGAAATATTCATGATACAGCTTTCTCATATTTCAAAAAATGAAGCCTAGGCAAAGTAACAAAACAAAAATAATAATTATTCCTCATGCTTTTATACCAGGGTCACCTAACCAAGTGACTTATGCTTTCAATTTACAAGATACTTGTGGTGTTTGGCTTCATCCTCAAATTTCATACATTGCAAACTCCGGGTAAGTTCCTTTATTCATGAAAAAATAAATAAATTACACTCATTCATGGAGATCTCAAGAAGTAGGATAGTACCGAATTAAAGAGATAACCCGACAGGAATGAAAAACAGTGTTTACAGATACAATCCATAGGAAGTTCACACAGACTTAGTCAGGTAAAGCCTGCTATTCAAGACAAACAGGGTGACTACTGCATATGGCAGGGCCCAAGTACATTTCCTGAACTACCATAAGACAGACGGGGAAGGACATGCGCCTAACTTTTGAGCCAAAAGAAAGGTTTAAGGATTATAGTTGTACTCACATAAATGTATGGACACAAAGCAATAACACAACTAAATACTTTACATTTCATGTGATTATTTGTAAGCCAAAGCCATCATTTCAGTGTGCATGGTTTGTTTAGAGTAGGAATTATTTGATTATAATAATAAATTAATAAATTATTAAAACCTAAAAAACTTGTATTTCTTAATTTATAACTGGTAAATTCAAAGTTAATATGCTGCCAGGTTCTTCACTAGGGGTATGTATGGTATGAGAAGGGGGCCAGCAGGTGCCACCATTAGCAAGGGGACTTACAGGACATAGGATAAAATCAAAGCCTACAACCAAACAACAGATAACTAGCATCTACTTTAGTCTCCCAGCCCATCTACAGTCTGAAGTTTATGCAAGCTATGGGAAATTACTACCCAGTACTATCAATCACTTAATTGGAACTTCTTTAACCATGGACATCTTTAATATTTGAAAATGTATTTTTCAAGACTCCTACTATGAACAACAACAACAAAAAGTTTTAAAGTATAGTGGTAAATATGCAAATATATATATATATATATATAGTCACTGCATTTTCTTGCCCAAGTATAAAACCAAACTTTTTAATATAAGTGCCTTAATGAATACCAAAAAGCACTGATTTCAAGATCCTGTAGCTTAAATTTGTAAATACATTCATGTGAGCACATTCCTACCTCTTTCTAGTGACAGTAAACTAGAAGACACTTAGGCTTGTTTTAAAGATTCAGAAGGACACAGAAGATTCCCGATCAGCACAGAAAACCAACACATTTAGGATGCTGCACCAAGAGTCGTTTTTGTTAGCATCCTCTACTGGTGGTTTCCAAAGACAGCAAGAAGAAATGGTGCTAATGATAGAAAGGTATGTGCCTGCTATTCCATCTAAGGTGAATTAGTCAGCATGCAGTCGCTGGGTGCCAGAGCTCCTTTGTCAAGAAAAAAAGGGGGGAAGGAAAACATCAAATAGAACAGAACTTTGGGAAAGAGAAATATTTTATATACAACAAAGCATTAAATTACAAACAGTAAAAATCAATTTCAGCAATTCTAATGCCATTCCTTTAGATGGCTAACATCATTACCATAACATTCCCACAGAAGGTTTAATGATTTAGCCAAGCCTGATCAATTGCTACACCCTAGTTAAGTTACAGTTTTTGATGCTGCCATCAGTATCTTAGCCTTCAGACACATTCTAGGAAGGAAATAAAAATGTTTTGTTGCTGGTTTAGCTGTAAAATCTCCATACCTTATTTCAAAAATCGAATACAAATATAATTTATACATATATAACAAAATATCTCTCACTAGCTCCTACTGTATACACCACTATTTATTCATTTAAATAAATTTTAAGAGCTAGCATCTTTCCAGATAATTCTCTCCCAAAACATCTGCAACTTAAATATGACTGTGTTGCTACGAAATATCAGCCAGCACCTATCCCCAGGTTTCACAACACAATGCATATAACTTCATTTTAAATTTGCAAAAATAGCAGGCTAAATCAAACAGCATGGCTGCAACGGTCAGCGATGGATGAAAGAAATAGAGAACAAAAAGAAATACAAAGAGAAAGCCAAAAGTGATGAAAATGGAAGATACCTGTGGTAGCTCAGCGCTATCTCACGCACCTTTTGTTTTCTCGGAGTAATGCATACTGCAGTCAAGACATTTCAGGCTCAAAAGCCCCAAATCTGTTTTTCTAATATTAAACACAAAGGAAGAACACTGACAGCAAGCGTGGTAAATAAATCCCTCCCCTGAGAAGGCAGGCGGCAAACAGGAGGAGGCTGACATACATGCAGGAGAAAACTAAACACCATCTTTTTTCTACCTGCACAAGTTGCCATTTGCTGCAGCGATCGAGAATCTCTTTCCTGTTGATTTCAAGCACCTTTCGGGATAGCTTTCCACCCTTAAGTCATCTGTTGATATGCCCCTATGTGTGTGATATTAGTATCACAGGATCTCCAGGAGAAAAATCCATTCTTTCCTGTTCAGGTAAACATGTTTACAGCAGCTGCGCAGATGCTGGGTGGTTCAGACTCATATGTCACACACATGTCATCAGCAACAAGAAAAGCCCCTTTCTTTGGTGATCAACGTGTTAAATAAGGTAAGGGCAGTGAACAGCCCTTTCCTAACCAACTTACCTTTCATAAAGCCACATCAGCAACAGCGGCAACAGCTCAATGTAGAACCGACACTATATGACGCTAGAAGCAGGAAATTACAATTGCGGTAGCCTGTGCTCAGGTCCTTGCCACAACCAGTCACCTCTCCACAATGATGCTACACACCTTTCCCTCTGAACGAACAGGCTTCTCTGAAAGGCAACGTTTTTCTGAACAACTGAAAATCATTCATGGTAGCAGGGATTTTAATGTAGGCTCAGATGTGTTTACAACCGAGAGGAAACCTCTTTGGAGCAGCTTAAAATCTTCCTATCTGCTTCTCGACAGGAAATCCCACACATAATCTAAAATTGCCAGGAAAGGTTACAAAACCTGGCGTTTGGCATCCCGGAGGGGAGGGAGCAACACAGACCAGGCGGGGGTGGGGCACGGGGGGCGCGCCAGGGTTGCCACTGAAACAGGATTTCCTAGTTCTCGGACGCCACATCGATGCCATCAGGGGCGCATTTATTCCCCCATTCTTGAAAAAAAAAACTTGTCGTTTAACGCCCCACGGTAGCCACCGGGTGCGAAAGGCACGAGGAATTCCTTATATAGCAGCGGCCGCAGCAGCACAGGGCTGTGGCCGCCCATCACCACACACAGGTACCGGGGCGGGGGCATCCCCCCCGGCCGCCGCCGCCGCAGGGACTGTCCAGACAATGACCAAGAGCAGACGGCTGTCCGCGCCACGAGCCTAGAGCACACACTCGCCTAGGAGAGGCACCATCAGCAACTCTTTCCTCTCCCCACGCTGGGAGAGCCCACGATGCACCCACCAATACAGGTCGGCATGTCGCGCTCTCTCCTGGTGCCTGTGGCTTTCCCTCTTTCTTAAAACAAAAACAAAAACAAAAAGACCACCATGACTAACAACAACAAAAAACTCTGCAGCCAGGCCGAGGAGTATTTCCCTGGCACATCCGCGCAAATCAATACCCCGCGCAGCTGCACAGCCAGCCGCAGCCCCGTGCGCCCGTCGGGCCGCCCGCCCCCTCCCCCACCCGCCCCACTCGCGACCCCGAGCGCCAGCCCAACTCCATTATCTGCCCTGGGCTCGCGCGTCGGGCCCAGGTAACAACTTCCCCAAACCGAAAGAGTCAAAGCAAGGCGCATGCACACAGCCCCGTGCCCGCGGGGACTCGGGCTGCCCGGGCGTCCCGACCAGTCTGTGTTGCTTCCCGGCCGCGAGCAGCAGGCGGTGAGTCCACGCACACGCTCGCCCCACGGCAGCAGCTAGGAGTCGCCCGACCCTGCTCAGCCCCCGACGGTCACCGCACGCGCGGAGTTCCAGCCCCGCGAGCGCCCGGCTAGCGGCGGTCCCGCGCGTCCCCATCCCCGCCCGCCCGCGAGCGCGCGGGGCGCAACTTTACCGCGGGTGCCCGACGACCCGGCGCGCAGCGCCCGCTCCCGCGCACACGCGCGCACGGCCGACACGCAGCCGACACGCAACCGGCCCGCGGCTGCCCGTCCTCTCCCGCCCGCGCCCGCCCCGCAGCCCGCGCCCGCCCGCAGCAAGTTTGTTCCCCGCCGCCGCGGCCTGCGCGGAGGGAGGATCGCGCGCGGGGAGACGCCGAGGGGCGGCAAGAGTGGAGAAAGTGCGGAAAGAAGCAACAGCCGCTCCACCCGCGGGCGGAAAAGTGGCCGGGCGCGGCGGCGGGATGCGGCGCGGCTAACGGTCCTCGGCGGCCGCGCGAGCCGCTAGGCGCAGAGGCAGGTAAGACATAACGGTCCAGGACGGCGGCCGCGGCGGCGGCGGCAGCGGGGCGCACTACTTTACTTTCCCACTCCACTCGGCCCGGCCCTGCCGCCGCCCCCGGCCCGCTCGGCCCCGCGCCCCTCGCCCGGCCGCCCGCTGCCCGCCGCCGCGCCGGGCCCCTCCGCTACTCACCGTTATTGCGCCGAGGGTTCGCCTGCTTTCTGCGCTTACACCTGGGGCCATCCGCCATGATCCTCTCGCTTGTGTCTAAATGCTCGAGTCACCTCCTCCCCCTCCTCCTCCCTCCCTCCCTCCCTCCCCTTCCCCCCACCCGCCGCCTCCACCCCTCCCCCTCCCCACCGCACCTGGTTTACGACACTCGCGGCTTTACGACATCACCTTCCTAACACCTAGCGGCGCTCGCTCTACGGCCGGAACCTTGTTGCTAGGGCCGGGGCGGTTTGCGGCAGCTTCGGACGCAGCGGAGTTTGAATTGGGGAGGCAAGGGAAAAGTTTTGCTCAGGTGTGGTGGGGTGACAGAGGAGGGTGCTGACACCCTGGGGACGGGCCAGGAGGCGACAGGGTGGCCTCCTGGACCAGGTGGAGCTGGCGGCATGGGCCACACCCGCGCAGACCCCCGCGGACGGGTGAGCACATCTCGGATCCCGCGCGCTCCAGCTGTCGGTGCGGCGACCCGCGCGCGTGCGCGCCGGGGACGTGGACAGCATGGACGCGCGGCGAGCTACCTGGCCGTTCTGCCTAACTACCTCCCCTCCCACAGACGCTCGGGTTTCCCCAGCCTACCCGGACGGGAAGTGACAGCAGTTGGGTTGAACTTCAGCTGGACAGAGAAGGAGGCGAGAAATTCCGCTCTCAGGAAAGCAGCATGAGTAATCGCCTGCACGGTGCCAGACTCACTTCCTCATCCTCGCCTAGCTCACCTGCTGTCACCTTGCCTACCCCGCCCTGCAGGGTCCTAGGGTGGCCAGGTTAGTGGGCCTTGCGACTTGCCCTTGAGGCATAAACACACTAGGAGAGCACGCCTGGAAACCTGCAATCCGAAGTGCCCAGAGCGTGAGACAGGAGGATGGCCAAGTGTTCAAGCCAGCCTGCACTACAGTGGAGCTCGGACTCAAAATAACCTCAGTTTCGCACATATCTGAGCAGTCTAATGACCTCGAGGCTAAAAGCAAAGCTGGCTAGTGTTCGCTGAGGCCGATCTTTACCTGAAGTCCTTGACTTTGTACAAGACCCAAAATGCCTTGATACTCGTCTCCAGTAATTAGAATTTAAATTTACCTTTCTCTCCCTGTTTCCCACCCCTTTTAAAGGAGGAGTTGTTAAGGGACAACTTTTTTGAGGTAAATGACCTAAGCCATTATTTCAGATACGCAATTATTAAATGTTAATGTATAAATGTGAGAGTTATGAATAGAAGCAACTGAAACATGCCTTAGAGTATAAGGAATAATACACTAAACCAGCACAGTGCTGATGCATGAAAGCTGCCTGGTAAGTTTCTGCCAGCAGATGTTGCCGTGCCTGAGGCAGGATATTTATTGTGTGAGTAGTCATGGTGACATACACCAGCAGTCTATGCTTATGGGAGGTGGATGAGTGAAGGTCACAAGTCTCAGACCAACTCTGGATGTATAGTGAGACCCTGTCTGCTCCCAAAAAACACCCTCCAACCCCTAGTGTTAAGAGTCATTAAGCTGAAGTTAAGTGTACATTTATTGTGTCTGAATAATGGGCCTACACGTGTTCTTTGCACATCAGGTCTGTACTTGTGGCAAAAAGAGACTTTTTCTTGGTCCTTGTACAAAAGGCAGTGCTTCTTTACCGAAACACCTGCGAGTCAAAATGGTTACCTTGGGTTTGTGGCCTTGAATCACCTCTGGCTGAGCCATTGAGCTTGGGAGGCCCCTGCCTTAGCATCCTGAGTAGCAGAGATCATGAGAGTGAGCCATGGCCAGGCCTTAGCTGCTCTAAATCAGATCATAAACTTTTGTCTTTTACCAGAAGTTGTGTAGTTTCCACTTGTTTTTTTTTTACACTCACCTTGTTTCCAGCCTAAAAGAAAAAAAAAAAAAAAACACTCTACTGCATGTTTTACCGTCCCTTAAACTTGAGAGGTGTCACACATCCAGCTCTTTTTCTGGCTTGTAAGCCAGGGTGTTCTTCAGCTAAGAGTCATAGGCACAGGAAAACAAACAGCACACAATACTTTGTTTCTTCTCTGGTTAGTGATTTAGTGTGTGTGGGTGGGGGGGTATTAACTGTGGGGACAGTAAACCTTTCCCTGGACCTGCTATTTCAGTATCTTCAACACCTAGCAAAGTGCCTGCCTAACCACATAGTAGATGTTTAATATTTCTGAGATAAGTTTTGTCTAAGTTTTCTGAACCTGTTCTCGACAATGAAGATTGTGTCTTACTTTATCGTGTTCTTAGAAACAGTTGAGGTGTGTGTGAAACACAATAGTTGCCATTCATGTGCATGCTAATCTTGATCTTAATCTCTCCACTATCATTTCCATTTTCCCTAAATAATTACTTCTGCTCAGTTCTATTTTTAAAATGTGCCCAGGAAATACTGGTAAGCCAAATTTAATAAAGTTTAACTTTTACAAAGCCTCTGATAATTTACAAAGTAAATACTTGACTTTTATTCATAGTTCCACAATGTTATTGAGGATATTTAAAATCAATACTAGAAAGAGCAAACAAAAATAAGTCTCAGAATATAAACTACTGCTTTAAACTTGATTCTTGTCTGATAGCTATATTTTAACCAAAGACTTGGGGGAAAAATCTTTGGGACAAATTTATGAAGGAAGCAGCTATTAAGACTTAAATCAAATCCAGCACTTGGGAGGTGGAGGAAGGAGAATCAGCTATATACCTAGTTCCAGGCCAACCTGGGCTACAGGAAACCCTGTCTCAAATTAACAAGCGTTTAGATAATGGCGGTAAGAAGACTGATGTGAATTTCACATGCTTCCTGTCTTGTTGAGTGACTGTGATACATCATAGAACATGCCATCACTATGTGCCTTTGCTCAGGTGTTAGTGGAATGTTAACTGCTTTGAACACTAGGATTGTATATGTTGAGCAAGAAATACTATAAAAAAGTAGATTACTGGAAAAATGTAAATGGATGGAATAATTTCAATTCTCAATTTTTCCTATAAATGTTTCATACTCTTTGCATGTACTTGCTTTTAATATAAGGTTCATATATTATTTAAGATAAAGTCTGATAAATTATTGTTTTGAAGTTTGAATCAGGTGTTCTACATAAAGGTACTCCACTTTCCAAGTGTATTCTAGAAGTATGACTAAATTCTCTAGACCTCATCAAACGTAAGTCAGGTAGTCTCATGGAAGGCACCTGTGTTAGTACCGCCTCTCCATTTAGTACCTCTTTTCACGTTTTGCCTTTGCCTAGCTAAGATTTCTACTGCTATGATAAAGCACCATGACATAACTTGGATGATGTCTTAGTTCCTGTTGCATTGCTGTGAAGAGACACGATGACCAAGGCAATTTTTACTAAAGAAAGCATTTAACAGAGGCTTGCTCACAGTTTCAGAAGATTAATCCGTGATCATCATGATGCTAGAGCAATAGCTGAGAGCCTTTCATGCTGATTCACAGGCAGCAGGCAGAGAAGATGAAACACTGGGGCCTGCTTGGCTTTCTAACCTTAAAACACACTTTCAGTGACATACCTCCTCCAAAAGTCCACACCTCCTAATCCTTCTCAAATAGTTCCACTCCCTGGTGATTAAGCATTCAAATATATGAGCACATGGGGGCATTCTTATTCAAACCACCACAGCGGAAGAAAGGGTTTATTCAAGCTTACAACTCTCAGATCGCATTCTACTAAAGGAAGCCAGGGCAAGGATCTAGAGGTAGGAACTGTTGCAGAGGCCATAAAGGGGTGCTGCTTACTGGCTTGCTCCTCATGGCTGGCTTAGCCTGCTTTCTTATGGAACACAGAACACCAGCTCGGGTCCACAGTGAGCTGGGCCTTCTTACATCCGTCATCAATCAAGAAAATGCACTACAAGCCATTCTGGTGGGGGTCATTTTCTCAGTCAAGCTTCCTTTTTCTCAAATAACTATTTGAGAGTATCACATTGACAGAGAACTGACCAGGACGCCTGTAAAGAATGCCAGGACCCAGCTGCTTCTCCGCAATGGCTCAGCTGACACTGAATTTGCTGTTCACAGTGGATCAAAGAAAGCTGGTGGTCACCTCACTGTTGCAGTTCAACCAGATTCTACAGCCAGGCCCAGGCAATGCTTAACCAACAGTCCTCAGGACCCGTGCCAGCTTCTCTAATCAAGCCTCCTTGGAGGTGATGAAGGGAAACGTGTTTTCCTCGTGCCCCCAGGTAATTTTTATTATGTACTGCACCCACACAATTTCTGACAAGGCTCCTGCTTTTAGTAGAAGTCAATGAACTATTAACAGGTAGGGCTGTTAAACAGAAGTGGCGTTTTTTCAAAACGTCAGCTAGAGAAGCATAAATTTATTTGGGGAGATATTTGCAGGATGTCAGTGATCATCTCTAAAAGCTAATATAAAAGTAGCTCCTATAGAAGATATCTTTGATTGATAACATGTGTGAACAGGAGTGACATGCTGTTGCTTCTCAGGTGATTGACACCAGAGAGCCCAGTATGAACAAATGGTTTGGAGTGGAGTGTGCTTAGCACAGTATCCAGGGACTGGCATTCGGCTTGCATTTCTGTCTTTGCCCCTTTGTTTCCGTCTATTTCTTTGTTTGGCATCTTGACTTTTCTGAGCAGCTGACTGATTTTGTTACAGAGTGCATCTGTTGTTTGGCTTACACCCCTGGCTTTCTGAAACCCATAGTCTCAGTTACAGACACTGCCAGTATTTGCCCCTTGGAGCATATGTAGCTAAAAACTAAAATGAAAAAGAGTAGCCTGTTTTAAATCTTTCACCACTGTGTTCAGGTCATATGAAAAAGTTTGGGATAGAAAAAGCCCATGTTCAGTTACATCCACAACCCCAAGCCCTGGTCTGACCTTGCTCACCTTTTCACCTTCTTGCTTCTGTTCTTTTGCTGCTTTCCTTTATCTTACATAATGAGGCCACACACTGTGCCCCACCCCACTATTTTACTTTTTAATCATGCTCTTCCTCTGTCTTTCTTTGTCCCAGGTCTGACATAGCTCTGTTTGGATCCTTTCCCTTTATCTTTTGGGTCAAGGTTTTTAAAAATTGTTCCAACTCTGAGACATCCTGCTTGTTTGCACGATGAGTACTCTTCCAACTGGTTGAACCCAGTCCCTTGCCTGACCCTGCTCTGAGAGGCTGGCTTCTGTGGACTGCATCTCCCGGGCTCCTTCAACCTCTGAGTCTGTTTGGTTTCTGCCAGTCTGGGAAGCATTGGCAAAAGATCAAAGGGAGGAGAGAGTCCAGAATATTTACTCCCTCCCTGTGACTGCAGCTTCATCTTCCATTAAGACTCGCAGCTCCTGTCAGATACCTGTGTCTTGTAGCCAAGGTCTAGAACTGCTTATCTCCCTCGAACCTTCAGGCCCAGAGATGTCAGGATTAGATAGTCTGTTTCTTCCCTTTAAAGATGTCTCCACCTTTTTAAGAACTCTCTTCACCTTTGAAGGTGCCATCTGTTTCCTGCCCAGGACCCCGAGTAATATGTAACTTGGAATTAGAAATTATGTTCAACCTTGTCAACAAACAGTACCCATCCCATTGATTCTACATTAAAATTTGAATGTGAGGTAAGTATCTTATGTTTCCCTAATGCATGTTCTTCATGCAAAATCTGGCAGACACTAATTACTCAATAACTGTAGAGTGAAAGCTCTATCCTTATCTAAAATCTAGGTGAGACAAATTCAAAATAGTAATTTGAACCAGAGTTTGTGTGTTCTTGAGACACAGTTGTGTTTCATAATGACAGACTACTTTGTAATGACCTGTTTTTGCCATGTGCTCATTTGCAATAATGGCTTTGCTTCTTCCCTCCTTGCATGGGTCTAGGTGCCACCATGCTACTGGTGGTGATAGAAGTTGAAGTGGTGTGTGCAGCACGGGGGACAGTCTTCTCAGGAAATGACTCACCATCCTTGCACTTCCCCCTGTTGGTTGAAGTCAGACTTGCTATGCCAGGCTCCAAAAGGAAGGCAGAACAGAACTCAAGGAGTGGGGTTCTTGATACTGAAAACCATAATCAGCCCCAGATTTCCCCTAGAAAGAGAGAAAACACTGCGGATAAGCCATCTTCTTCAGAAGCTGTATTGATACGCAGTCAGCACCACTCCTGCTTAGTGTGGGTATATTTGTGTTCTCTTGGCTGCTGTGAAAATCTAGCCCACCAGTAAATTGAAACCACATTCAGTAGCTACATTCAGTAGCTTATCATCCTGGAAGACAGAAGTCCAAAATGGTGTCATAAGGCTAAATAATTCTTTATGAAGTTTTTGGCAGGATTGGGGGCATCAGAAAGCTTTAGGGGTAACATTTATTTGCTTTGTCCAACTTTGAAGAACACTCATAGTTCTCAGTTGGCGGACCTCTTTCTCCATCTCCAGACTCACCAACATCTGCAAGAGCCTTGCTCCAATGACCTGCTCAGTGGCCTTCTGTTCTGCTCATCCACTCCACAAGGTAGATGTTTTTGTGATGAAGTTAGCCCTGCCTGGATCATTCCAGCTGCCTCCCCACTTTAAGATCATCTGATAAGTTCAATTCCACCTGTAACCTTGAGTCCCCTTTGCCATGTGACTAATGTATTCACAGGTTAACTTTGGGAGGCAGAGTAATGTATGTTTAAAGTTTTGTGATGGAGAAACAAGTTTTTATTAACTTGTTCATCTTTAACTTTAATTTCTATGCAGCTTTCCAGTATTGTGCTAATTAGTCATTACTTTTTATGGCACATAGAAATCTTTAATAATTAAATATTAATTACTTTTTAAAATTTCTTTTCCTGAGAACATTTATGTGATAGACACAGCATGGATCTATAAATATCTAGCACAGTCCCTGACTTCAAGAAACTTACAGATTGTGGGAGAAGCAGATTTGTCAAAAGTTACAATACAAAAATGGCAGGGAGGCATGGTTATACATCAGAGATACTGACTAAGGTAGAAGATGTCTGTTTTGGAAATGATGGAGTTTATCAGAAGACAAGTTGGGCAGAGAGAATTAAAGAGGAAAATCACAGGATATGAAAAGTTCCAGTATGAAAGCATAGCCCTTCTAGAGGTCAACCCATAGAAGTGAGGTTTTGACTATAAGGTGTTCCTGGTTCTACATGAGGCTGTGTAGGTAGGTGAGTAGGAGACAGATTGTGTGAATGATGCTATGAGAATGTGGGACATCATATTAAAATAAGTAGAGGACATTGTCTTGAATCTTAAGAGGACTGCATTATACAAGATGTTAATTAGTAGTCCAAGAAGGAAAAATAAAAAATGAGCAGGACAAACAGCAAGAGAACCCTAGCCTTTTTCTTTGGAATAAGCATTTAAGAAGATTCAAGAACGAATAGCCATGTGGATGCATACACACTATGAGGAGCTCAAGGAATCTTGGGCGGGGTCAGCATTCCCAGATGGTATTAACAAGTGTGTACTGTGTTACAAGTTGAGCATTGTTAATATTCCCTCTACCATCAGTATTACTAAAATTGTACCAGGCTGCATATTCTTGTGGTTATGCCAGCTCTTTAATAAGGCCTAACCACCATGACAGACCCTCGAAATAAATGTGATCCATGAACATGTATTTCAAAGGAGCCCCCCAAGTGTACCCATTGATTCTTGCTGTTTTCTGGCTGCTATTTTTGTTCCAACACAGAATGCCACTCCTAGCACTTTGAGATATGCTGTCTTCCAGCTTACTGTTCTGCTTCCAAGAAGGCAGATTTGCCGTTTTTGTGTTAAAAAGTATCTGCATGTCAGGTACATTGGCATTCCCGGGACCAGCAAGCAGTCTCCCTCACAGAGCTAATTATTCTTCCACATACCCCTAAATGCCTCAACTTGCTATAGGTTTTTGTTTTATTTTATTTCAAATTATGTGGGTGTGAGCATATATGTTTACATGAGTGCAGGTGCTTGTGGAGAACAGAAGGTGTCAGAGCAGATGGTGTCAAAGCCCCTGGAACCTGAGTTACAGGTTGTTGTGAGCAAACTAGTGACCTGTAATTGGTTTTGTTTTACTCTTACTCTGCTCTTTGGAAGCCTGACACCCAATTCCCAAATAAATACATGGAGGCTTACTCTTACTTATGAATGCACACACTAGCTTAGCTTGTTTCTAGCCAGCTTTTCTTAAATTATCCCACCTATCTTTTGCCTCTGGACTTTTATCTTTCTCTATCCTATATACCTTTCTTTAATTCTTATTCTCTTCTCTTGCTTTGTAGTTGGGTGGCTGGCCCCTGGTGTCCTCTTGCTCCTCTGTCTTTTCATTCTTTTTTTATTTATTCACTCACTCTGCCTGGCAGCCCTGCTTATCCCTCTCCTGCCTTGCTATTGGACACTCAGCTCTTTATTAGACAATCAGCTGTTTTAGACAAGCAAAGTAACACAGCTTCACAGAGTTAAACAAATATCACGTAAAAGAATACATCTCTCCATAGAAACAAACAAATGTCTTAAAATAATGTTTCACAGCAGTGACCTCTGCAAGGTAGTATAATTGCTGCAGCCACAACCCTGACCATGCACACAAACATTCTTCTTTCCCCTTATGGTGCTAGAGATGGAGGCTAATACATGGCAGGCAAGAACTCTACCTTCAAGCTATGTCTCCAGCTCTATTACTATGTGTGCTTTTGTTTTTTGTTTTTGCACCATCTCTTCTCTTGCTCTGAGCTTTTTTTTTTCTTTGCATTTGTGACACTTAAGCTAGCATCTGTGCAGTGGGAGAGTGGATGCTCTCATCGCTGGTGACTCACTGCTCAATAAGTTTTGTTTTGGTTTGGTTTGGTTTGGTTTGGTTTTTCGAGATAGGGTTGCTCTGTATTGTTTTGGAGACTGTCCTGGAACTCACTCTGTAGACCAGGCTGGCCTCAAACTCACAGAGATCTGCCTGCCTCTGCCTCCCGAGTGCTAGGAGACTTGGGCCATCAATGTCTCGATAAGCTTTCGTGAAGAACAAGGGGAGCAGGATATGTAAGTTGGTATTGGTGTCTAGCATGTGGTAAACTGTGATTGATGAAAGGCCACAACAAAAACATCAAGTTCACAAAGATTAAATCTCTTCAGTGCTAATAAAACACTTAAAGGCATAATCTGATGGAATTTCTACGAAGTACTTTCTTCCCGGAGGCTAAAAGCAAATTCTTAACTCCTGAGAAAAAAATCTCCTCAGGGGCAGGTGGAATGATTGCATTGAGAGCAAAAGTGACAGCCAGCTAACCCAGTGAGCTTTAGCTGGGATGTTGTCTGGAGATGCAGTTGACTTTCAGGGGGTGTGCTGCTGAAGGAAATGCATCTCCAGGCAGCAGACTCACTCACAGACAATGGCACAGTCTGTAGTGCAGTTGGTGAGGTGGCAGGTGGGACTTCACTATCCCTCTCTTAAGTTAAAGGCTGAAAGAGAAACTCTGAGGTTTTTTTCTTGATTTGAATTTCACAGACACCAGTTTGAATGAGCTGACACAAAATGAATAATATATAAAGACAAGAGAGTTCTGGCTGTTGTTTTGTAGACCCCAAGTTTCGGGATGAGCTGTAGGAACCCCTCTGGGTGCACTGGCTTTGCCTCTGCATCTCTCTGTACTTGTTTCACTGTAGCCTGAAGAGAGGTACATAAAGCCACTGAGATATATACAACCACAGCTTCCATCACTCTACAGTGCTTAGAAGAAAAACAAGCTTTCTTAGCACAAAGTGTGTGAGTAAAGATTGCATTAAATCTTTTCTACATGAGCAGGTTGCATGATTATAATATTGATTTGGGAATGTGCATAAACATTACATATAGCTTTACACTGCACAGCTTTTACTTACCAGTCAAATTTCCCCTTAGGTCTATATAACCTTTGTATTTTTTTACTGGACTGTAACATTCCACAATTGATAAATGGACTGTCACATCTTTTTGAAAGTTTAAATTACTTATAATGTTTTATAAAGAATAAAAACTGCTACCTACAGTTTTTGTTTTTGTTTTGATCGTTTTATGGAAAAATATCCTTAATCCTGTAATTAATTAATAAATGGGAATTAACATGGTTGCCACCTCTTTGTCAGTATCTGTCTATAATGACTGTCCTAGAACTTGATATGTTGACCAGGCTAGCCTTGAAGTCACAGAGATCTGCCTGCCTCTGCCACCAGAGTTTGTGGATTAAAGGCATAACTCCCCATACCCAGCTTAAAGGGGAGAGACGGTGTAGGAAACAGACTCTTTTTTTTTTTTTTTTTTTTTTTTTTTTTTTGGTTTTTAGGAGACAGGGTTTTTCTGTATTGTTTTGGAGGCTGTTGGTCCAGCCCGGCCTCGAACTCACAGAGATCTGCCTGCCTCTACCTCCCGAGTGCTGGGATTAAAGGCGTGTGCCACCACCACCCGGCCAGACTCTTTTTTTTTTTTAAAGACTTATTTGTTTATTACATATACAGTGTTCTGCCTACATGCCAGAAGAGGGCACCAGACAGATTGAATTGTAGATGGTTGTAAGCCACCATGTGGTTGCTGGGAATTGAACTCAGGACCCTTGGAAGAGCAGTCAGTGTTCTTAACCTCTGAGCCATCTCTCCAGACTCTTATTTTTAATTGTAAGCCTGCCTTTTAACGGATGAAGCATCTCTCCAGTGGACTGTCTTATAAAAGTATGGCTTTTGAGAAGGATTGTGTTTTTTCGTGTGATGTATATGAGAAAGACTCACCATGATTAAATGTTTTTTCCTAAGGTGAGAGCTTGTTTACAATGCCTGGAAGCATTTGAATTCCTTATTATTTATAAAGGATGGTGTCTTAGTTCGATTTTTATTGCTGTGATAAAACACGGTGACCATGCTAACCTGAAGAGGAATGGGTTTATTTCAGCTTACAATTCTCAGGCCAGTCTATCACCGAGGGCATGAACTAAAGCAGGTCACAGACCTGGAGGTGGGAACTGAAGCAGAGACTAGGGAGGAGTGCTACTTACAGACTCGCCCCACTTTTACAGAAAAGTCAGCCTGCTTTCTCATAGTACCCAGGACCACCAGCCCAGGGGAGACACTACCACAGTAGGCTGCCCCCACCACAATCGTCAATCAAGAAAACGCCCTACAGACATGCTGACAGGCCTGACCTATGGAGGCATTTTCCTGATGAAGATTCCTTCTTTCCTGAGGCTATTACCTTGTGTCAAATTGACATCAAAACTACCCAGCACAGGTAGAAAATGTTGAGATGGGACAAGAACCTATGTAAACAGTGTACTATGTATTCAATTAATTCACACATAGAGGTTTTGTTATTGTTGTTTATACTACTGGAGACCAAACTCAGATTCTTTCTAATGTCAGGCAAGTACTCTGGCCATGAACCACTTCCTCTACTCTGATATAATTTGAAATGAACCCATTTTTATGAAGTTTTTCACAGAGAACTGTCATTGGCTTCTGATTAATACTTTATTATTTTTATTACATTTTCTTTGA